TCTTATGTAAAATTTGGCGTGATCGTCTTCTGCTTTATGGCAAGCAGTTGGCGACCACATCACAACGTCCCTGTCCTCGGTGGACTAAACACTAAGCAAAAGCGGTGTGACAATCGGAGTCGTTAGTACTTCGATCGACCTCTTATGGTCTTTTATTGGAGCTTTCCTGGAGGTGTTTCATTAGATCATTCTCGCAGATGTGATTGCCTCCAGGTGTTTACCGTTTTCTGCCCTTGGTCCACCAAGGGTCGTCTTTAATCGGGGCCGCATATTGCGAGAGCAGAGGGTCACATAATTCGTGTCCCACCCTCACAGAATGTACAATCTATCACAACTCTGTCGTCGAATCGATAACTAGTACAACAATATTGCTGTAAACCTTGCATACCCGGATGATCAGACTCAAGGAGTCTGTGTAGCCAATTTAGAAGAGATGGATTCGTACACGTCACCCTGGAGCGAAGTCGAGAGCCTCTTGAGTAAGTAAATAGCCTTGCTTTTCTATTTCAAAGTTTGGCATATATTCCAAATGAAGTCGAGCTTAAATTGATAATATCTATTACTCACAATATCAAGAATATTAAATGGCGCGAGGCTGGCAGCTTACAAATTCCACGAAACTCTCCGATCGCCCTCCTAAGTACCGAGTTACTTCAAAACCTTAGCTTCGCAGGGACAGTAGTGTGATGTACGTACACCATGATTTCGTATGTCATTCAATAACCAGTATATCTCGTATATATGAGATATGTTAATTAAAGCAGATACTCAGCGTCAAAACTTTCTAAGGCAACCCGTTGGTATCCAGATGCTGAAGCAGCATAAAGCAAACCTAATTTTTTGTCGCGCATAGCCCAAGTTAGAGTCAAAGCAGATCGTAGCGATTATCTATAGTCTCTGAACGAAAGAGAAAAACTGTCAAGCTAAGTTACATCTAATCATGATGTCACTAAATTTGCGCGCTACATGAATAAATTTGATGATCATCGGCTTAATTTATTGTGCTGTAGTGAAGATCAAATTACAACAAATTCCAAAAATAAAACAATGTGCTTTATTTCTGTTTCTTAAGCTGGGATAACTAAAACAATTCGATCAAAATCAAGAGAATAAACCCAGCCGGGAAGAGCTTCTATCTTCCTCAAAACCAATCCACGGTTCGGAAAGCTGGTCAGTGAATAAGAAGGATATTCTCAACTCTCGAGTTATTTCGTCAATGAGTGAGTCCCAGTCCAATCTTTATTTTGACATATGTTCAGAGCATACCATTGACAAGCAAAATGGTGATTTCTCGGAAGTTTGTCAGATCTCGAGTTACGAATTGGATAGAAGAATTGACGAAGACTCGCGCCCTATGCCGTTTGCTCAGCTTTTCCATCTTACACCAGACTGTCTGCTTTCTAGAAAGTTTTTGAGAGGCAGCAAAATAGGAAAACCTCAAGCTGTGATTGAGCCCGCTCCCGCAAAAATGTTTGATGTTCATCCATTGCATGAATATGCACAGACATACTTTAACCTTACGCTTCCGCGCGTTTCAATTTTCCACAAACCTGTTAACATTGATTTGAAGAAGCGCCTGGAATGGGAAAATACTATCATCTCGACTCCCTTGACACGTCTTTCGAAAGATCAAGTTGAAGTCGCAATTCAAGCCTTCCGCAACGTTTCCGGCTTTATGGGGAACCGAGCAAGTGGCAAAAGTCAGATTGACCACTGCTTTAAGCTTCTACGCAATGTCGTTCACCGATCCCCCGCACTGAAGGACGAAATTTACTGCCAGCTCTGCAAACAACTCACTTGCAACCCCAGTACGTACGTGCTAAATTTCTGGCTTATTTGGATTAATGATTCTAATTTGTGACTGCATTTCTTTGTTTGTTTCAAAAGCAACGCTATTTTGAACGGGTGGTTGCTTTTAAACGCGTGTCTCGTGACATTTCCACCGTCTCCACCATTGACTAGAAGTCTGGAAAAATTTATAATCGCTCATACGCGTGCAGATGGCAACTCCAAGTTTTACTCCGAAATGATAGCGTACGCCCAAGAAGCACTCGTGTCTTTAGCATGTAGTGCGACTCAAGGCGAGCGCAAAGAAATACCAAGCGTTGCAGAGTTGAAAGCACTTCAACGACATGTTCCTAACGACATCACCGTAATGCTTGCAGACGGATCAAGCCTAATAATGCAGGTTAGTGCATGGACAACAAGCCAGGAGCTTGCTAGTCTTGTTGCGCACAAATTAGGTGTGTGTCACGAAAAAGCTTTCGCTCTCTTCGAGACAAATAAAGAAGAGCAAGAATTTATTGTACCCGACGATGAGCGTGTCTTGGATCTATTCGCTGAATGGGAGCGCACTTACATTGATGCAAACGAGGTCGAGAAAAAGGAAAAGAGTAGCGGTAGCTTAAATAGCATATCAGAAAAAATCGCGACTCAACCTGCTATAGAAGGGTACCACCTCGTGTATAAGGCCTATCTGTGGGTACATGTGGAGGATGAAACTGCAGCTGATGTGGACCTTTACTACTTACAAGCCGTGCAAAATGTACTCAGCGGAAACTATATATGTGATCTTGACGTTGCTGTGGAACTTTCAAGTTACCAGTTGTATTGTACATTTGGCAGCATCTCGGATTTAGCGCTAAGCAATCTGGTGTACGTATGCGACTTTTGCTTTGTCGATTCGAGATAACCTTACAAGGTTTATACTTTTTTAGAGACGACGTTCATCGATACATCCCTAATTCACTACTTAGTGCATCAAATCGCGTTGCTATTGCCAAGCTGGTGGTTGCAAGCTACAATACTCTGGTGAATAGTCGATATGTTCAGTCCGTGCAACAGGCTCGGCAGGCGTATCTACGTCTTTGTAAACACCAGCCATTTTATGGCCTTACACTTTATCAAGTGCGAAATTCGCACCGTATCACAAATTTTCCACTTCGTATCATTCTTACGATAAATGACGTGGGTGTCGGTATTCTAGGTGCTGACAGTGATGAAATCTTACAACTATTTCCTTATACGAATATTGCGAGTTGGGGCTACAGCGCTAACTCGTTTGTGTTTAAAGTGGTGAGCAAAGATTTAGAGACCGAGTACTCGTTTAAAACCACTCAGGCAAGATCTTGTCATTGCGATTTTGGTGCTTTTGATTTGACTTATTTTCGATTATTAGGGCAAAAGCATTAATGACAACGTGGCCGCGTACGTAAATTATATTATGTCGACGACCGCGAGAATATGTAATTGTTACAGAAGGTAAAAAGAAACATTCATGTTATGCACAGCTTAAAGCTTCGCATTGTAAAAAGAAAATTTAGCGTTCAACTTATGATGTTAACATCAAAGGTGACTGACTATCTGATCAGTAAATTTTTTGGCTTCGTAATGTTGCGCCATCCTAGATCGTACAAAGTAGGAGGTATCAAGTAACAATTGGGTTTCTTTTAATAAGCTTTCAGCTTATAAGACCGACATAGCCGTGATGTATTGCATTCTCAACTTAATGTGCATTGGCACCAAATGTTGTAAAATGATCCAACATTAGAACATACTTGCCTTGTGGACTCGTTGATTGGATTTCGAACAAATCGCCCCGACTCAAAATGTGGCCAACACGATTGAAATTTTTGAAACTTTTTGTGCATCTTTTTCGAGAGTAAAGTTACGTGTGGTCGCCTCTCTCTCGCCGGTATATCAGTTTTTTTCAAAAATGGCGCAGTTTCTAATCCGAAACTGTTGATCCCCTTGTTTCGTGAGATAAAGGACGAATGATCATGAATTGTGGTGCCTCTTTCGTCGCCTTTTGATAGCCTTTGCTGTTGTGGTTGGTGTATTATCGAGTCTGATAAGACCCTTCTTAGCACTGGTTCAAGAGATTTTAGTGTTGAGAAGTTCCACGACCGAGATTTTACGCCCAGAAAGTCATTCGGTTGATGTGGTATCGTATACCAAGCCATCAATTGTGCTATCTCGCTATCCCCAAATGCAAGCTCAAGCCATTTCGAATACTGAAGTGGGCCATCCGATGAGACCAGCGACATTAATTTATTTCGAAAGTGCCTTCGCAGTAGTGGACTTTTGGCGGCGTCGAATATCGACTCGCCAAACCCATACTCGTGTATTCGAACTTCCTTACCGCTTGCTACAATCTGATTTAACAATAGACAACACATCAAATCTGATCCAGATCAAAATATCAGTTTGGTAGTTGGATAATAATCACCTTTCAGCATACCAACCTGCAAGATACGCGATGTCTTGCTGGTTGAGAAAATCGCAGCTTTGGTGGTTAGCGATTTGGAATAAAAGGTGTGCCTTTTCTTCTGGCGCCCCAAGAGTCACTACGGATAAAAACTTGATGGAGATAGTATCAAAGTATCACTTTTGCGAATATCGAGGAAATTGACACCATACAAACCTGAACTAAACTATAATAGGAAACATTTCCATAGCCGTCGGGCCTCAAAAGGCGATAAATTTGTCCATAGATGTCAACAGGCAACTTCAAATGAGCAGTGACACACACGCATCAGCAACTTGCTGGCTTTAAAAATTTCGACAGTTGTGAAATTAGGACACACCGTTTTAAATATCCGTGAGAAAATGTTTTCCAGCTGTTCGTGCCTCAACCCACGCAACTTGGAGCGTCCAGATTTTTTTTTTTGAAAGCGAAGAAATGTGAATTCGTCGTGAAGTCGTTTCATTTCTAGATAATCAAAGTGTGTGAAGTTGGCAAGGACAGCAAATTCTGCCTCGCGTAATGGTGGTAGGCGGCGAAGAGCTGCTCGCATATCCTCAACAGATTCATCCTTGAGACCGTACGTTGTGCGTGCTTGATAAAGGAGTGCCCTCGGAGCAATTTCAGTCGCGCATTGACACTGGTCCAATATAATCTTGTAGATATAGCTTGAGTCCCATTCCTCAGTTTCCTAAACATATATCAGCTTTTTACACACTGTTCGCAGTTGAACTTACCATATGATCCTGAATCTTGCCCAAAGCAAGATTAAATACATGCAAAGCAACTAATAGATGCAGTATCGTGCCGTCTTCTTCAGATAACATCGTATTCCAGACCTCGTACAACAACGGCACTGGTAGCTCTCCAACCCAGAGCGAAACAAACCATTTGCAGGACAGTAAAGTTGTGACAAAGGGCAGGTCAATCTATCATTACATTGTCAAAGGCTACTTACAGTCTATAGTAACAATTTCATGTCTGACCTTAGACAAAACCGGATTGAGTGGAACAAGTTTCTCGTGTACCAGTTCACAATAAAGCTTGCAGTCCTATCATTTGAAAACGCCACTTCGATATTTAGCTCAAAATGATAAGCAGTAATCATCGCCCGCACCACTTGAAATCCGTGAAGCTTTGGTGCCCGAGCGAAGTAATCCTCGGGAAAAACTCTGCGATAGGCAGTAAATCAACATGTATGTCGCGAAGATACTCACCGAATCCAACTTACCTTTCTATAACGCTAGCATAGACCCAGAATACCTCTTCTTCATCTTTTTTCTCATTAATACTTCCCAAAAGAAAGCACAACACGTCAGCGTGGCCCTGAACGTAGCCCACTCGCGGGTTTCTCTTCACACTAACAAGTGAGATCGACCGGTTGTTAAAGACCATTTAATGCAACGTACTACGCTGTACGCCAAAAGTATATTTTTTAGTTGCGGAAGAAATCGATGCATCACATGCCGCGGCATCTCAGCCTCCTCCTGTAGAGAATTCCTCTCGTCTTGAGTAAGCAGGAAATGGCGGATAGACTCGCCTGTACGTGGCAAATCCAGCTCAATTTGGCGCAGATCTTCTTCAAACTGGGTGGATGAACAGTGCTTGCTATTGTACAAGTAATCATGATACTTAAGTGCACTACTTTCACGTAGCTCCCGAGCGCCAGACGTCTCGAACCAGTTTGTACGCATTTTGGATTGTTAGAAAGCTTACGTGACTTCAGTACAAATATTAGGTCTACACACAATATAAGGTTCTGGATCTTAAAGAGTACAAGGATGTCGGCTCAAGTGGCGCCCACGCGCATGTAGAATAATCCTATCTTCTCTTACGAATAAATCAAGATTTTCACAGTATTGATCAAAACGAATTGATGTGTGGCAGGGCACTGACAACCTACAGGGGAAAACGCGTTGGCGCAAAGAAGGGTACTCATATTTGCTCATGAACCTGCGCTATGAACTCGTTTAAGTATAGACAAATGCTGTTTACAGGATTCGAATTACTGAAAAAGAAAGCTGATGCGTTAAAAATGCGTTTTCAGGCTATGCTACGCGAAATTCAGAAGGTTGTTAAGCATTTGTGTGCCGTTTAGTTATTATCTGAACTATAATATAGTTGTGTGTGCCTGTACGAACAGACCAAACTGGCCATGTCAACAGAGGCGTCCGAAGCATTTTTCTCACTTACACAAGCGCAGTACGCTGCAGGTGATTTTCGTAATAAGGTAATTGAGTCGGTGAGTACTGCGGAAATACGCACGCAGAATCGCATCGACAACGTGGCCGGCGTCAAACTACCGGTGTTTACCGAGGTAGAGGTCAGTCGAGAAAAGAGTGAGAACATTGGCCTGGCTGGCGGAGGTGGCAAGATTCAAAACTGCCGTGAAAAATTTCGCGTCCTATTACGCGCGTTGATCAAACTAGCGTCTTTACAGGTGGATAATTACGCATACGCAGGGAAAAATGTGATGTGCTTATTAATTTTATTGATGGCAGACTTCTTTCGTGACGCTGGATGAAGCTTTGAAAGTGACCAATCGTCGTGTTAATGCGCTAGATAACGTGCGCTACTGTATTTGGCAAGGTGCGATATCCTGATTATTAAGCGTATTTTTCTGCTGGCAGGTCACTATTCCTCGTATTGAGAAGACAATTTCATACATTACGCGCGAGCTAGACGAGCTAGAGCGTGAAGATTTTGTGCGGTACGTTTCAGCAACGTATATATCGTTGGTTCAATCGCAGCTATATGTTTTGTTAAACTAATGAGGTTCTTGTGCTGATATTGTAGCATTAAAAAAGTTCAAGCGAACAAGCAAGAACACGAAAAAGCCGCCATGCTCCGAGAAACAGGTCATTTTCTGGTTATGTACTGACTTCTCTGGGAGTTTGTTGGTTCTAATGGTATGCGTTCTTCAATTCAGAAGAAATCGCATCTAAGAAAAACTCGGGCACCGCTGAGGAGGACGATCCATTCGCGGACGTCATTGCGTCGGACCGCGATATCCTTGCCCAGTACGAACTATCTGCTGACGCAGATGTCGTATTCTAGAAGAGGGCATACTGGAGCATTAACGCTCGTTGTGAATGTGTGATGAAAGTAGCTTCAGGTTATCCAATCTTTCATTCAGCATCACCCGGTCGTTTTGAGCATTTAATGAAAATGCTGCAAAATAGCTGTCGTATATGCTGCATAACATAGCTCGCATAAGTCGTCCTAAAAGTAAGCGGAATAAACGGTGTCCAACTCCATAGCGCTATCACCTCTTGGGGTCTCGCTCAAACACTGATGTGGCGATCAATGTCAACTGTTGTTAGGGATAATACTTTTTAGCCTGGTCGAAAGCTCTGTACGATCAAGCTTTTTCGCAGCAAATTCTTTTAGTAATCTGTTTAGTGCTCAAATGGAAGGCGCGTCTATTCTTTTGTAAGCATGCACATCGCCACTTGTTGTTGACCTTTCCGACGCAAAAAATCGGGGCGGCTGGCTGACACTATGCAGTTTATTAATTGATATTGTAGATAGCCAATCAAATATTTTTTAAAAGTCTGACCCAAGCTTAATTCTAAATCATACATTAAAAATTGCAAGACGAATAACTTTGTAAATGCGAGGCTCTCGCTTCGGCCACCTGGTCAAATTATTCCCTGTGTGCTTTTTAACGCTAACTCGTAGGCTCTAATTTCTACCGCGCAAGGTGCACAGAAAATTGGTTGCATCTTGTAAAGCTTGTCATTTCGATGACAAACTCTGTTCCAGACTTCTTTTGGGTAAGGACGAAATACTTCTTTTGTCTTCTAGACAAAAAGATATGCTTAGCAGGCCTCTGTCGTCAGCTAGTCCTGACTGGATTACCAATGAGTGGCGCAAGGGTCGAAGGCTGGAATCACTCGCGTAGAGCCATTCATCAGATCAGAGAACGCTCTAGTCACAAATTTCGAGGAACGCCTTAGCAAGGAGAGCACAATCACGGTCATGGAGAGACCGCTGACGTTCAGATCTCAGTCGTCATAGAAAAGGGGTCAGAAAAACTCCTTCTGAAAACGGGAGACAAAAATTTGGCTGTGCTCTAGACAGACTATCAAAGCTAGTGTGGGCTCTAAGCTACGAGATCGCTAAGCGGTTACGTGCAGTATACCTCTAAGAGAAACTTTCACAATATGGAACTCATTTCAGCGACAGGTGTCGCAAACGATCATGGGATTATCGCGTGCAGTTAAGACTTTTAACCTCCTCTCAACAAGAGACAGAGAACTATCGCCGGAATTTAAACACTCTTATAGTGGCAGGCTGTCCGCCAGAAACGGAAACGGCTATCGTTTTCATGGAGAACCTCCGCGCAGGTGCTTCTCGCACCATCCGCATCAGCTCCACTCCTCCCGACAATGAGGTGGATGTCTCGTGGCATGTAACGTATCACTTTCATGCTGCGTGGTACCGTTAAAGCACAGATAAAAGAGGATGTATGAGTTCGCCAAACGCTATGGGCCTCAGCTTAGCCATGGAGGGAAATGTTTGTATTTGGATGCTGAGCAGCACCGTAGTATTTGTAAATGTGCGTTCCGTATATAACACGACAGCAATCGCACCCTCGAAAGAGGTTGTGCAGGTGCAGGACTGCAGAACCAGCCATCCATAAAGATGTTAACCGTTATCATCTCTGCTTCCATCACAGCGGTAAGAAAGTTTATCACTTGCACAAAGCCCGCTCGCTTTCCTTGACGGGTGGCAAGAATTCCAATCGGACACGGAAAAGTCTGGTCAGGCCGTGCGAACTTAATTTTGTGCGCGACCTTCTAGTTTAATGACCGCTAACGCAAAGCTCTTGCACCATCCAAAATATGCTCAACATTATTATCACCTCAACCACTCTTGTTGATGAAGAGATTTTCCTGCTTTCACCGTCAAAGGGGTGGACGCTAAGCGTCGGAAGCCTTGACGGTGGCACTCTCTCACACTTCAATTTTAGCGATTGAAGCGCTCCTAGACTCACCAATTTATCCTCAGAATGAGTGAGCGCCTCCAGGCGGGTGATAATCCTTCTGGTCCTTGGGCATCCAATCCTTTGACCCCGCTGAAAAAAATAACAACATGAGCTGATTAAGCGTGTCTTGTTGTCGGAAAAATATTCGGACAATGCATGCTCCACCTTTACAAAGGCTAATGTCGTATCAAGGAAACAGTCGTTAAATTAACAAACATTACCAAGTGAAACGGGGTTGATGCGCATGCCGTACAAAGAAAATTTCAAAAGAACTGGTCCATGTTAATTAACGCGCAAAAATGTATTCCAACTAGCTAATAACCTACGTTTCTCGTTATTCAAAATGCTCAGATATATAATATTTATCATATTTGTATATACATTAGTGAAAACACAGTACTGTATAGCGTAAGACTATATACTCCAGTATGCTTGTTGTGATAGTGACGATAGTGTCAGATCTATGCACACAACAACTCGTAAAATTAACAACATAACGCCAAACTTTATTCGAATGTAAGTCCGTTTTGTCCACGGATCAATGAGACGCTGCCACGGCGCATTTCCTCTTGCCGACAACCTGCCAATCATACTCAAAAGAGCAGCCAAGGTGTCCCCCGACAAGATTGGTCAGGGTGACTACCAGAAGCCGGGGCCGGTTCCTCTATTCTCATTGGGAGTCATAAAAAGTACCCTAAGATTGAAGATATTCACACAAGCCCTCCTCTCCGCTGCGGGTGTTTTTGCGCAATTCTTGTCCGTTCTTCAGGGATTAATGTGTTTAAAAATGCCACCGTGAAATCCACACCACTCCAGTTCGTTACCCATGCGCTTGATCTGGATCGAAAGGCTTAGCTTGCTTATCTGGGTAAGAATCATAAAGACTTTTGTGGACTTGATCACGTGGCGATATCACCTTTTATACGGCAGAAGTTGATTGTCGTACCAGGACATAATACGGCACACATATTTGTGTGGGCCTTTCACTTAGGTAGAGTGCTTTATATTTGGTCTGCGAGATTTTCCTAGCCTATCAGACTGCCACCCCTCAGAGGTACCACCTGCGCCAGAGCAGAAGCAGTTAGGTTTATTCATTTAAAACGGGAATTGCACCTCGTTTTTTTTGGGAACCTTTTGTGTGGTGATTTGCGCTTCGAAGCCAATTTTTTTAATCAATCTGCGCACTAGAAGGCAAGTAGACTTTATCCATCGGACGGCTTGATAAGCCAAATTTCGTGAAGCGTACGTCTGACTAGAATGTCTTTCATGTTAATATCGAAGGTTCAAAGCACAATGTTAACGTTGTGGCGGTAGATCGCAATTTTCTTTTCTTGCTGTAAGCAATCGTGCTGTTACAGATACCGGCTAGAACCCGTATTTTAGAACAGGGTTAGGCCCCCTTCTCTAGCAAATTTGCTGAGGTAGGATTTCAGACTCAAATGGTTCTCGATGTGAGGATATCTCTCCCACTACATCAGACACCGGTTATAACCATTGTGAACCGTATCCACTTCACAGTGGGACATCACCAAGCTGATCGAGAAGAGTCATTAAAAGACACCTCCCGCGACTGGCTGGGTATTATGGTCTTTCTTGGTCAGAGCGACAAGAGGAATCGTATCGTCAGCCGATTGCCAACAAAGATCGAATCAAGTTTCAAAGGGGCAAAAGAAAACATCCGGATCATCCATGTATATGTTGAAAGCACACGCAAGAAAAATACTACTTTATTCACAAATAGGTGGGAGCAATTTGATACAAAGCTCCGTCCAGATGCTCAAAATGATATCTTCCTCATGCAAATAACAAGTTCTTTCTGGCCGTTTAATTGTCAGTGGTCAGCCGTGGACATGGTGCAAAATCTCGATCTTGGTAAAGCATGCCGTTGATGGCGATCTCGGTCCAAAACAATGGCCACCAGAAATTAATGATTCTTAAACCTTCTCGAGAAGCGGTCTGGCTTAGTAGCGGTGTTGCAGAGAGCAACAAAACGATTCATCTTGCTCAGATGGCTCAAAAACCCATAATGATGGCCTAATGAGCGCGTCATAAAGAAGACCAAGAATGTTGTCCATACTTTTCAGCGGCCAATATTCTATTATAGGTGTCGACGCATATGGCGAGAAGGTTTAACGTGCTGTCAACTTTGCATATGTGCACATAAGCGTGCATCATTTCATACATGTAGAATTACTCGAGCATAACACTCATCAAGCCTTATGTTTCTTCTCTACCGAGGTGACTTACTAAGAGGGTTTGTGCCGCATACAGTATCCTGTCCTTGGTAAAGATACCACACTGAGTGTCGAGTGTGTCAGTTATGTGAACTGGAATCCTGGAACAAGTAATAACAGCTATATAGCCCAAGCAAACGTTTGATCAAGTGGCCTTCAAGCGTAATTACTCCTTGCTATCCGAGATTTTTGAATGCTGCGCCTGATCTTCGTTCTCAAGTCTTCTTGTTGATGCGCAATGTCACCATCGTACTATATACGAGGTCTAGGAGGTATCTGTCCAAATCCGACCTCAACTGTCTCTCTTAAATACATACTTAGAAAAGGATGATATACATCCTGCCATTCTCTACTTGAGATTTGGTGAAGACGTGACTGTACGCAATGAGCATGATCATATGACTCATAGCCCATCAAATTTGCCTTGAATATGATAACATAAACGCTTCATCTAACATAGTTCATAGTAATAAACTAAATAGCTCTTCTCGGCTGCTTCAAGCTAAGGGTCATTTTGCTGCTCTCAGCGTCACCACAACCAGGACGGGCCCTTCTTCGATAAGGTTTCACATCATCGACTTTAGTTTGCCATTATTGCGAACTGAGATCGCGCTCTGCAGCAAGTCTCTTGCCACTCTGTTCACGTCTTTTTGCCACATTTGACATGTCCAGTGGTGGCAATCCCAGGCAGATTGTGTAGCGGAATGCGGTGACCGGAAGGTGCATGATATCTGGAACATAGTAATGCTGTGTGCTTACTCCGTACAGTCTTGGGGCAATTGCGTATATCCTGATTCGTACAACGGTGCAAAATTCACATTTCATGTTTGGCTTATCGCGATTAATTATTTTTAATGAGATATTGATTTTCATTACGATTGGGAGACTCTGTAAATGGGAGGTGCATAGTATATAAACATGGGCTGCAAGACGCTATAGACTGCCTTATCGTTGAGGAAAGTAAAGCGTATATCTTAAGCTCGAGTAAAAACAAATCGGAATCTAAATCGATGTACTCTTGCAATAGCAGAATAAACCACATATAGCTTCTTGAGAGACTCTCGGCTCCGCTCCTTGATAGAGCGTACTCTGTACGCATGCTGCCGTATAATATGTGATTCAAAGTTCCACTGTGCATAGTGCACGATGCAAGCCTGGATGCGCTCATCAACAAAGAGTATGCATCTCCAGGAACACCAGCGAGGCATTTATGATAGCATAAACTCCCACATGGGCCGCTGATATTAATCCTTCGACTCATTGAGGAAATTGGCCGTCTCTGAGTGAGCGAAGATGTGATGGTCATGGTCACGAGTTCAACAATGCTGCTGACTTTTCTGCAGCGAATCTCGCAAGTGATCGCAAAGCTAGGAGGCGGCACAGAAGCTTGAGCTCAAACTGACAGTACATCTGTAGAAGAGGTATTTTTGACAAGGGGCGAGCGGAAGCGGTATATGTTGCGATTGTTCACACCGCATAAGCGGCTTAGTGAACTTGTCTTCCTGTCAGCGGGACAAAAAGTAAAAAACTTTGTCAAAGCGTCTGGAGCTGTAATAGCGGCGATGGCAGCAAGCCCTCTTCCGGGATGATAACAATTAACATCTTAATAGATGTTCTTCAAACAGGTGCGGCTTGCACAAATGCCTTCAAATCCACCCAATCATTCAGGGCGTGGCAGGTGTCACTCAAATGCGAAGTATCATTTCCGGGCTGCAAGAGCCAATTAGAGCAGGAGAGGTTGAAACTTTGCGAGAGTGCCGCAATATATCGTAGCTCTGCTGAGGAGAGAGATATCACTTTTTCTACATGCGGTGCTTAATTATTCGCAGGCCTTCTAGGGCAGTATTATGTATCTGTGTAACTTTTGTGGCATAGTTAGCTACTCATGAAGTATTCTACGCGGAGAGATTTCTCCGCTGCTAAAGGGCTAGAGGGATTGTGCTGTCTTGCATCGGTAAATTTTGCTAGCCAATAATGGATTGACGTAGCTGAAAGACGTGCAGCTGATCATAACGTTTTACAGCACACCCTTCCAAAAGAATGTCCTTTGTGTCAAAGTTGTGGCTGCGTGCAGCTTGTCATTATCACATACGTGCAAAAGCCGTCCTCCCAAAGCAGACAGTCGGCGCCACGTGTGACAATTTTCTTTTTCGCTTGATCCTCTGCATGAAGATAGCGTCCTTGTAAGGGCCAGTTTTCTTCAGACAGAATATTTGGCTTTAAAACAAGGCGTTTTCATGACACACTCCCCTTCTGAGGTTGACACGCCTCATGATTCTCTTGTCACCATGTCGTGATATCGCCTCAGCAAGTTTCACCAGGAGGCCACAGATCCTCGAGGAAAGCTATCCCATCTCTCATGGTAAGTACTCTGCAAATGACTTCCATGACGGATAACGAGCTCAGCTCATCCACCGCATCATTTTGGTGACCTCACCTTCTTACAATTGCTTGCACAAACTACCGCAAAAAGTATTTCTTCAGGACTATAATAGTTTTATTACAATCACTAGGATTATTCCGGTAGCTCTATTCACAAAGTAAGTAATCGTTCACTCTATTTATTCTTGAATGCTTTGCTGCTCTTCACGGTAGAGTTTTCACGCAATGTGCGTCCTCAAGATAGCCTACCGAGCTCTGCTCGAGGCACATAATAATTTTTAATGTTATCGACTTCGATCATTACCTCATTCTGTACGGAAGCTATCGCGACTTTTCGACCACAGAACGGCTTTTGCTTTCTGGTAATAATGGTTCAATGACTTTTCAAATCTCCACCAGGAAAATGCGTGACACCAAACATCTTTTACTTCCATTCGACCAACAGCTTGTGGCGTTACGGACACGCGATACATAGCACCAGATAAATACTAGATGTAGGTCCAGGGAGAGTCATTTTTTATGCTTTCAAAGTCCGCGAACTTCATTAGAAATTCAACATAATCCTCGAAGCTTCTACAGATTCTTCGTCGCAAGGGGCACGCATTTCGCATCCGTATATGGTCTCTTCAATAATTCCATATAACAGGCTACTCTTTTTGACGGTCGCACGTTGTATTTAATTACTCGATGCTTTTAAATTTATCAGAACGCCTTCACAAAGCCAGGCGTTTCTTTTTACAGCTCTTTAATTGGTGCTGGCAGTAGTTCAGGTAGCTACATTTCATATGACTTATAAGTATTTCAAGGAATCCTTCTTCACGGCAGAATTGCTGAGTGCCCACAACCTGGGATTTGAGTTTTAAGTGTTTTCAATCAGTTCGCTTCTCCCGGGGCTGCTTATAATCAACCACGACCTCCATGAGGTACACTAGAGCTGAATGAATTATCAGAGGATCGCTCTGCACCAAATTGGACCCGACGTTATCCCGCGAAGGGCTCGTCGAAGTCGGACCCTATAAATCTCTTCTCAGCAGCTGATGTCTTTTTCTCTCTTCATCTCAGTATGACTGGTGTCCATCTCCTCGGGAGACCCACAATAGATTACAGTTACCGTATTTATTGTTGGTAAATGCGACAGGGCAGTTGTTTTCCGATTTGGAGGTGATATCCACTGTCTGGGAGAGCTACGGTGAGCGCAAAAAAACTCAGACGAGCCGCTTGAAGACCGTCCGTAAAGATGGAAACTGGTCTGACGGCATATTGGCGGCAAAAGTTACTTACTAATGGACCCAGTCAGCTAGTTCTCACCCCCGTTCCTCCGTTGGCAATAGCACACGACTTAGAACGCACCGTTAGAAAGTTTTTTACTCGTCCCGGTTCTCATAGGCTTAGATGCTTAAAATCAGCGACTATCTGTTCCTTCATCAGCGCCCGGATGGAATGCGATAGGGCTTGCTTCATCATCGCATTCTCATAGCCAGTGATCGCCTCGGAGCGACAAATTATTGCTCTTGTCTTTTCGATTTGTTAGGCTAGTTCTTGTCCTCGTCAGGTGCTCAAATGTATTATCGTCGCAGAGGATGGATATCTCCTACGTCTTAGTTCTTAGGATGATCAACAAGTGCTACCAGGTGCAACGGTGTTGTCGTGCAATTCGCATACAACACACACGGAGATTGGGTTTGTGCGCTCCCACCAGAAGCGAAGCTTGAACCTTTCAGGAAACATCGGCTATAAGTTTGCTTCGCGAATACAAGAGAACATATTTTTGCGACTATAATTATTCAGCCTGATACTCAATATATACATTTTCTGTTCTTTGTATAAATTTTCTGTTGCTTAGCGTGCGGCGAGAAGACCATGTGCATCACGGGCATCACCTAAAAGAGTCTCGTTATCTTCATAGTTACCTATTCAGTTCCACAATTAATCTACGTGTAGTGTGAATCCTTTGCTTAGAGGAAGCTTGTTAAGACCACCGACCTAACGTTTTGTTTTAGAACCAGTATGATTGTAGCGGATCGCAACCCGATACCTACAAATATACCTCAAATCTTACCCAAGACAAATGCACTCTTCCGTTCAAAATGTAAACTGAGTTTAATTGTTTTATTTGCGGCAAAAGCCGCCTATATTTATATCTGTATGGTTTTCTAAGAAAGTAAAATCTTATCAATATGCATAACCACTGGCAGTCCCGCCGCGTAGTGGATTATTGTTACGGTGTAGCCAAACCATTGTGTGGTTACACCGTCGTGTGTAATCGACACCTTCGTACGGTCACACCATCTTGTGTGACCTACCTTATAATACCCGGGTTCGTGTAACCTGTAACACTCTCCCCATCGAAATTTTGAATACCCACAATTTACATTTCACATTTAACTGTCGCCTAGTACGAGATTCGCGTGTCTAAGACATCTTTACATTCCTAGGACTGTCCTCACGCATTCTCTGCTCGATGAGTCCTGTGTCTATGACACGAAAAACATTCAGCTTCGCTGATTCCGAGAGCACCTGCGGGCTGAGTCCTTCTTCGTCTCCTGAACGTGGTAAATCTCCGAACAGTATGTCTGCGGCTTTATTGGGAAGCATATCCCAAGACTTCGACAACCGGGCGCAACACACCTCGTCGCGGATTGGGAGGAAGTCGACTACCAGTCGGATGCTCCTTTCCCAGGATGGAAGAAGAGGAGGGAAAGGTGCGCCAACGGCGCGTCGTGATCCCTGCTCAAATCTTGCGGACACTGTATCCGTTTCCCGACCACTCGACTTTCGTGGGAAGTGGTATTATTCGTAGTCACCTCGACAAGCACAGGGGAGACTGCTCACTGGGCGGCTGTCATGCGCTCGCATCCTTTGTCGATCCTAGACCCTCGTGTGGAATACGGCTTCCGCATGGCGGATCCCGCTACTGAAGCGGAAGACGTGATCACTCGACCGTTAGGTGTCTACGTAGTCGGACCCGGTCACTACCCAAGCCGAGCGTGACCAACGAAAAGCTCTCCGAGCTCGCTTCTTGGTACCTCATAAAATCTGAATGGATAGATACCGCGCTCGACTTTGCGCTCAAATGGGAGACGCTTTTTTATTCGCAATTCGGAATATTCCTGTGGTTCTTGCCCCTGAAGAAACCGCTACGGATGATGATGAGCTATTTGAGCGATGGGTGCATCGGAACCAAAAAATTTCCTCGCTGTCTAACGTACAGTGGAACCACAAGAAATAGACGCGTGTGTGAAAACGCCATTTTTGATTCGAGTTTGCCAAACATAAGGCGCAACGCCGTTTACCTACGTTTTGTCGCCTTGCGACATATGGAATAATCCATTACGCTCCCGCGAGCTCTGTGGGTTCTCAAACGGGTAAGTCTACTGCCACGGCCGTAGCTTGAGCTCAGTTTATGGCCCTTCGGCTTCCCGAGCTACCATCGAGAAGTGCGGATTGTCATGATCCATCTGATCGTAGGCATCCACGACGTCAGGACAGTCTTGCCAAAACGGCACCTCAAACTCTCACGAGTTTTTGAGGTTTGGATATCCCCGCCATTTTACAAAATATTGGGTTTGACTCTGTTGACGACGTCGACTTAAAAGGCGCTTCACGTGATAACGGACGCCACCGTTCTTAGCGAGTGAGTTGGTGGCGGATGATGACGACTTGGTCGATCGCCGTCTGATGACTGCTCTTCTAGCGTTGGAGAACAAAGTCCGTCGTCATCGGCACTCCGCCGAGAATCTTGCCAAGGTCGCATATCGCTGTGCGAAAGACCTCAAAAGGCTTGGAGCACAATGCCTACCGACTGCCTCACGTTGAGGACTATCGCGCTCTGTAGATTAGCGATTACATAAGACCTCGCTTGGCCACGACCTTATAAAGTCCGATGAACTTGAGAGCCTTGTCTTAAAGACAGCAGACGGCATGTGTTGGAAGGTCCTTAGCGTTTAATAAAACCAGGTCTCCAATCTCAAAGCTTTCAATATTTTATCTGCTTCTTCCGTCTGCATATTTTTTCAGCATGTTTTAGCTTTCAGCCATCGCATTAGAACATGTCGTAAGACACTCATTCTGGTAGACAGGAAGTCTCCGACTTCTTTTCGGGTAGTGAGGGGGCAGATATCAGCCAGCCGTTCGAAATACTCCTCTTTCACCAAGCCCTAAGCAATGGGATGGCGGCGTCAGCGGGACGCGAGGGTGAACCAGTCTGTTCACGTAGAAAGGTAGATGAATGTACGGCATTGTTCAGAGAAACCCCACAAGCGACAGCGTGACACACCAGCCTTTCGGTGACTCAGCGCAGACGCCGCGAAGAACGTCCAAAAAGTCGCGATTTACAAGCTCAGTCTAACCATCGATATGCGGATAGCTCGGTGTTGATATAGTTAATTTGGTGCCTAGCACCCTGAAGATTGCAGACCAAAAATTTCTAGTGAAAGCACGGGTCTCTATCAGAGACAATTGACTTCGGGGGTCCATGTTGTCGAATGACACAATCCACAAACAGTGTCGCTGTGCCGACTTTATCGATGGTGTCCGGCACCACAGCAATATGAGCCATCATGCTCAAACGGTTCGCAAAGAGCAAAACACCCGTGTTACCTGCCGATGTTTCGGCAGGTAACACAAAGTCCATTCTCATGGACGGCCAACACCCGGAGGGTACTGGTAAACTGGCCAGAGGCACCGCTGCACTCCTCCATGATGCATTTTAAAAAGGGATTTTTTCCGCGCCAAAAATGCACTTATCGGCGCTAGCATATAGCTTAATCGTGCGCATGCACTCGAGCACCGCTCTTAAATGGGCGATGTGGCTCTCTTCATCCATCCTCCCGTGCCCCGCACTACTGTGGACGAAGATGTCGTCGAAGTATGTCTGTGCATACGCCCGGTAGGGGCTGAACAACTGCGGCACAAGACGATTAAATGTTGCTGGTGCATTTGACAGCCATGCAAAATCACCAGCCACTCCCATATCAAGCCGCTCGAAGTACTCACCGCTCTCAGCGGAATATCACTCGCTCTCATGAGCAATTGGCTATACCCATCGACCAAGTCGAGTGCGCTATACTTCGCACGGCCAATATTGTTCTGGAGAACATCCTTTCATGAAATCGGCATCTGTAGCAGCGTTGAGACTATTGTAAGCGTGAACGATACGCCACTGACCGTTCGGCTTCCGGACACGAAACGTTGGTATCGAATAGGGCGACTTGCTCTCACGCACCGTTTTTGTGTCCTGCATCGCACGGAAAAGGCGTCAATGGCTCCTCGAGCAGGAGTCATTGGCGTGTTAAGCAGTATTTGGTTCCCAGAACCAAATCGATCTTACGACACACATCTCAGTCCGGAGGTAGACCCGACGGCGTGTCCTTGGAGAGGACGTCTTAAAGTTTCTTTACCAAAGGAAAGTACAAATCCGAGGGATCCTTCAGGATCGACGATCCACGCCGGCTGCGTTCAGACCCTCTTCGTGTCCTTCAGGATAGGTTCATCCTGAATCGACGACGAGTTAATCACCTCGTCCAGTCGGTTAATGACCACCTCGGCTGAATCACCTGCCTTCGAGGCACTGCCTACCTCTTGGAAGGGCATCTCTTCCAGTTAATGAAGAGCATCCACCGCGGGAATAGCCTCGAGGGTGACGCCGCCGTCTTCGTCTCCCGTCATACCGCTGACAAGGGTATATGGCTGAGCGCTATCGTCTACGGTAGACACACCCTGGGTCAGGGTCTACAGCCTGCGTCTTGCAGATAACATACGAAATCGCCGTCTCTTTTCTATAAAGGTCTTACGTCTCGTCGAGTCCAGTGGGGGCACGTACTCGGCGTCGTACAGTGTCCCCACCCCCTGCTCCATCGAAGCCTTGATGTTAGTAATAACATCCGACAAAGAGCTGCCATTTCCACAGTGAATAGCGTGCCACTCCATGTTCAGCCCGAAAGCCATGCTCGGGACTCCTGTCCAATATCCCTTTGGTGTTCGAAAACTCGGATACTCCGATATCCAGCTCATAGACTGCCCCGGTTCAGTGCCCGCGCTAAAAGCGCTTCTGCTTCCTAGCAAAGGTGGATTCATGACTCACCAAAGCCCCACCAGGAGACGTGCACGTAGCGCCCAAGGTATTCGACCTCCAATCGATCCATGGCTGATGGTGTTCCAACCATGCCATACCAAGGATAAGGTCATACCTTGAATGCAAGTCTAACAGTAAGCAGCATTTCACGCTATTAAGGTCTAGAAACTTGACACCGAGGTCCACAGGGACTCTCAGCACCGTCACACAGGTCCCCGTCGCTAAGCGAACAGTGACGGTGTCACTCAACCGCGATTTCAGCGCCTCACCGTACAGCTGACTTACTCCTATCGTGGTGCGTCGAGCATAATTGTTCGACGCCCTGGAGTCGATAAGGATTTTGTTTCTCAAAGCTCTTCATGGTCGCTTTCACGACCATCAAGCCCAGTTCGCATACACGCTCCGTGTTCAAGAGCATGGAGCTCTTAAGGGCTGGGCCTTGCTGCCGTCTACCTCTTTAGGGCTCAACAGAACTCATTTCTTCCCTAGTAGATTGCCGCGCGCCTACTGGGAGTAGTCGTTTCCCCGCGATAAACCCGAACATCGATGAGAAGCGGAACATCGGCTCGATAAATCTCAATGCGCCTTGCACAGGGGACAACCAGTCCGAAGTTGAGGAATGTCTCCACAGACAAAAGATCGTCGAGTGTAAACGCTGCCGGGCAGCTTTCGGATCTCCGCCCCACCTTTCTGAGCAAAGCTGGAATCATTGGCTCAGGCCCGCTCGACGGGCTCTGAGAGTGTGCCTCCTAACCAAGTCGTGCCGAGATAAGTTGGATTTGGCATTCGATGCCACATTCACCGCTTTTTTCAAAGAAGACGAATCCTACATAAAGACGGTCATTGTGACCGCCTTGGGGAGAGGTTCGGCTGCCATCCCGGCAATGAGAGTTAGCAACTCTTGGACAAAGTCCACCAATTCCCTCTTGCACTATCGGGCGGCAAGGAAACGCAATCGCACGCGATATATCTACCAGGCGGCGAAAACACTCGTAATGCTGCAGCTTCAGCTCTGTTAAAGAGGAAAATGCCGTTTCAACCGAGGTACCGCGCGTCAGTGTCCATTCTCGCGCTCGGCCACCGATCTTGGAGATAGCTAGCGCTGCGCGCTGTTGCTCGTTTAGAACATATCAGATGCCATAGCCATCTCGGCCTCTCTCACCCAGAGCAGGAGATTTTCTCTATCATTACCCTCGAAGTTCTTAACGCTCACCATAAGCGGCCTGGGTCGGGAGAAGTCATCCGTCGTCGACGTTGGCGTCAACGACGCAGTCAGTGCCGACATTTTCTTCTCTAGGTGCTCTAGCAAAGCACTTGTATAGTTCGAAAACACTCTTAGGCGCGCCCCTATTGCTTCAGGTCCTTACGAATAAAGGTGTTGCACGCCCTCTGGGCCAAGCAGGTACATCAGCTTCTTAAGCCCGTCCTCCATGCCCTGAGGCAAACAAAAGAATTGCTTAATCCTCACAGAGTATCAGTCGCAATGACTCAGGCGTAGATTGACTACGAGTGCTACCAAGTGCAGCGGGGCTGCCGTAGCTTTTTGCTTAGAGGAAGCTTACTAAGGTTACCGACTTTACGTTCTTTCCAAGAACCAGTATGAGTGTAGTGGATCACAATTCGCTACCTCCCAGAGTAATCAAAACCTTAACCCAATGCAAATGCATTCTTCCGTTGAAAAAGTAAACTGAATTTACTTCTGCCTATATCTAAATCTGTAGGTTTTCCTAATAAAAGAGTAAAATCTAAATAATATGCAGAACTTGTTACGTGTGTAGCCACACAATTGTTTGATAACACCGTCTTCTGTAATCCACAACTTTGTACGGTCACACCATCATGTGTAACGCACCCCTTCATATCAGAGTACGTGTAACCCCGTTACGATTGGGGTAGCGCAATACTCTTTCATAACTCATTCGGAACAGCTCATATCAAGGACAATAAGTGCTAAAGTCATTTTTGTCGTCACAGTCGTTGCTAATGCAACAATGCTGCCCCTTTCTCATGCATAAACTTCTTCAGCAGCTCTGGACTCGTACCCACATGAGCTATGCAATTTTTTTGTTTTGAGCTGCAATAATTGATAAAAAAATCAGTTTAGAATTTATAAATATGACCTGGATCATGAAGTATATCTATCGTATTTAGGTGATAGGAATGTAAATTATGGTAAGAACGTTGCTTGAGTGTCGCTTAAGAAATCAGTTGCTTCTTTAGATTGTGAAATGCAACATTAGGGTCTTCTACTGTAACATGGCAGCCTTTTCCCCTTCAAAACTAAAGAAGCAAGCGGTTCGAGTCTCCGTCTGACTCCACGCGGCCAGTAGTTAGCGACGTCACCAAATTTTTTAACGATGGGAGGCATTTTGCAGAAGATGTTACAGGCTTTCTACACCAAAAAGCTCGAAGTTGTGCTCGTCGGTCTTGAAAATAGGTGCGTCGCTCAGAAGATAACAGGGAAGCGTTTGAGCCACTGACCTGATTTTTTATTGCTATTAGTGGCAAGACGACGCTACTAAATGTAATGGCTATGGGTCATCCTGTGGAGACGTGTCCGACTATTGGTTTGAACGTAAAACTCGTGAAAAAGGGAGGCGTTCAGATGAAGTGCTGGGATATCGGCGGGCAGGCACAGTACCGAAGCGAATGGGGCCGCTACACACGCGGCTGTGACGTCATCATATATGTTGTGGACGCTAATGCGGTATGCTACATTAAAACTATTTCAATTTTGCAATTACTGCTATCTGGGCTGCCTGCTTACAATGTTGAGGCCTTGACAGTTTGATCAAATTTCTCTTGCGCGAAAGGAGCTGCATCGTCTTCTTGAAGACCGGTACTCTTACTATTACCTTCTACATTTGATGCGGCTTGAGACTAAGTATTGCATTGTTTTTGCAGTGAACTCGCGACGACGCCATTGCTAGTATTGGCCAACAAGATTGATCTGGAACCTCATATTTCCGAGCCGGAACTTATTCGAGAATTGAATTTGGACTACATTGTGGACAACCCATGGCTAGTGATTCCCATCTCTGCTTTACGCCTCGTCAACATTGACCAAGTCATTCAGTGGCTGATGAAGCAGTCGGGCAAGGGTTAAGAAAACACCCCTACGTTGCGTCAGTGTAATGATTGCATACTTGAATCGCATGTCATGTATTCAAGCTCGTTGGCGTTGCACTAGAGATTATAATGGAAAAGGTATATAGCCAAGTTGGATATGCAAAAGTCCATATATTTATCGAAGCAGGAATACTTACCTGACCGATAGCTGAACTTGGGCGCAGAAATTGACAAAAAAAAATATAGTTGCAGTGCATTTGAGCAATTGATTTGTTGTGGACTTTATTCTTGTTGTCGTTCCACTATCCATCATTGTTCGCCTGTTCGCCACACTACAGATCTTTTTTGATATATTGCTTAGTCAAAAGCCTAAACGACGCTGAGATGGAAAGCTTCTTTTTGCAGCATAGCGTGATTCGGGACCGCGACCCAGACGAGGTCGAAAGACATGTCAATTCTGACTCAGAGGCTAGGTGCTTGAGACATAAGAGCAACTATTTGGTAAATAATAAGTAACAAACAATTCTGCGAACAGCGACGATGAAGAGATCACGGACCGAGTGTATTCTGTGGCAGATCCAACGGGGCCTTGGACTCAAAGATCAGTCGACGGCGAGACGTGGGGCAAGCCATCACGCGGCTATCGCAGTGGCAAGGCACGCGACTTTGCATCGGCAAACACTGGACCTAAGGGAGTCATAAACGACTACAAAACTTATAAACAGTACCAGAAACAGGAGGTGCGCGATAAATGCGACGGCATTTCTAAAAAAATTATCGATTGTATGCTTGTGCTGCAGCGTTTAAGAAAGGAAGCTGATCGTCAAGCAGTCCTAAAACGCATTACTCAAGGTGTAAGTGTCCCGTACACTCCATCTACAAGTGATATAAACGACCAATACATCTGCGACGATACTTCGGACAACGAATACGATGAGAGCGACTTGCTAGATGATGCAACTCTGACTCAATATGCTAATATGCGAATAAAACAGATGCAAGAGGTGGCACACAGTCAAAAAAATTATGGCGAGCTCGAATATATCACTCCAGATCGATTCGTGAAACTAACAGGCAATAACGAATCTATAACCAGTATGCTAGTGCACCTTTACCATCCGGACAATTATGCTTGTGGGTTACTTAATTCACAGCTTGAAAAGCTGGCGCGTAAGCTCGTCCATGTCAAGGTAGGCTAGTCAGTTTCATACAAAAGACAATCGTATTTTTACGCGTAAGTTGCGACGGTGTTTGTAGTTTACAGCAATGGTCGCTAGAGAAGCGGACGCTTCCATTGAGACGGTCGATCTACCGATAATTTTGGTCATTCGCGGCCAGCATCAAGAGGTTATTGTGGACGTTGCACGTCTTCTCAATGGCGAGTTTACTTATGATCGTGTCGATTCATTCGTAAATGAGCTCCTCAGATAATCGTTTTCTAAAACAATTACCAAACCAGTGTGATACGACTTATTGGCTTCAGTAACTATTCTGGATTATGAGAAAACAAACACTTCTCACCAAAGCGGCAAGTTTTCGTTCGTGCATAGCTATCACATACTCGCTTGCTAGTCTTGCCGAGTGCGCGTCCAGATCGCATTGCTTTTGTCTCTGCATGCATAAAATTGCAGCGGTCACCCCACTTGCATTCCCCTCGCATAAAGTCGTAACAAACTTTTACTTTAAAACGTTCTTTTTTATTCCGTGCGCGCTGCTTATGCCACTTGCCAGCACGGTGCTCGTTAATTTGAGCGGCACTTGTAAACGATTTATTGCAAAGATCGCAATGCAGCAATTTCTCACCAGTTTGTACGCGTATCACGTGATTATCTGAAAGTTTGTGAGCCTGATATTCGTCTAAATTTTTGCCAACAAACTTGCAAGGCTTGCAGGCAAATGGTACACGTTTTGGAAACGAAAGCGCGTCGCGTAAGTGCTCCAATGCCTTATTGGCTGCTAGCTCGTTCTGCTCCTGCTGCGTCTTCTTGCGCTTCTTACATACGTGAGAAAGATTGGACAAAGAATTTGCAGCTGGAAGCATGTTTGCTGGCAGCGAATCGACTCGCTCTGACGCGTAAGCAGACAAGTTGACGATATTGTCTGTTTTGTCATTGCTGGGGTCTGAATAAAATTCCGAGTCTGAATCGCTGCTTTCATTTTTCTCATCTTGAAGCTCATTTTCAAGTCGTTTAATGCGCTCAACAATATCTTCCGTCTCTGTAATTTTCTTGGAAGTCAACAGAGCGCTCTCGGCTGACTGCTTCAGCCGCTTGGCAATGGGCTCCAAACTCCACATGTAGTAACCTGAGTAAAGCTTTGATTGGCTTAGCAGGCCTTTTAGCCAGAAATTATAATCTTTCTGAAGCTTATTCTGGTCGTTAAGCCTTCAATCAAACGTGAGCAATAAGCTACGGACGTGAAATTCCGGTAGCACAGACCACTAAGCTGCTGAACTTCGTACTTGTGTGAGGATTCTGGTCATAACTGTTGTCGAACGAATCCTTCGTGCGCTATTACAGTGGGCTAGATGAGTCAGTTTTCTTTGTGCAAGGGATCACGGTATATGCAGATAAATCGACATACTAGAGTGATTATGCATGGCGAGAACAATCCACCAGCGCTCAAGATTCAATATATGGACTAACATGTTGACGTCGGATTTGTCTCGTGCGCTAATAATTTTTACAAACATTTAGTTCCAGTTAACATTGACAGACGACCACGATATTTAAGACATCAAAACGTGAAAGTTGAATGCAATTTGTTAGCGTAAAGCTCTCATTCGAATTCATCACTACTGTTACCGTCGCTACTAATGAGCGCCCGTTTGAGGTCATCATCAGCTGAAACCTTTTCATCTAAGGTATTCGACTTGAGCTTGTTCCAGGAGACCATCAAATCTTCCAGGAATCGGTACACGAACAGACCCAACATGATGAACAGCAAGCCAGCTATATCCTTTGCGTGCAATGGCTGATGCTCTGGCATAAAAGGAAACGTGAATGCAACGTTTCCGAGAGGAACCATAATAGTCATTGCCTGTTTAAAGCACATTACTTGAGGATTCAAATTACACTTGGCAATCAAATTAACCACTTACCAGCCAAAGAATGTTGGCGCTACCAAACTTGAGAATCAGAATAATCAAAAGATTATACGTCACGTTAAATATTAAATACGCTGTTACGTAAATTGTCGCCTTCTCGCAGTTGTCCTTGTGTGGACCGTCGGTGATCGTATTCTGTCCAAAATAGCACTTCATGCCGTTGTACATATTTTGTGGAAGCTCTCGAGGAGTAACAGGGTGGTCTCCGACCAAAGATGCAGGAAATGTCAACGGAACTGCAAACAAAAATTGGAACACAGCTATCCAGCCGTTCAGGTAGACAGCGTCAAGCTTCACCTCTCCAAGTGTTTTCTCTTTATAGACGCTGGACAAACACATCGGGACGCAGCTGAAGATCATAATTATTGACCACAACACAGCAATATGTGGGTTAACACTTGAGCTGCTACTAGAGTTTCCTGATCCCAATACGATAAGAAGACCCAATGTGACAACCACTGCACCCACATACTGATATCCCGAGTACTTAGCCTTAAGTAGCAGGCCAGAGATAAGCATCGAGATAGGAATGGCAGCTTGACCGAGTAAAATAATAAGCGACCCACTTAAATAAGTGGCAGCAAATACTTGTAAAATTCCAGCGATCGAGTCAAGTCCACCCATTACAGCAAACTTGCTCTTTGGAATGTTCTGCTGTTCCCACGTGATGGCGCTGCCATACTTGATCATCGGTAGAATGTACGCAAAGCTAATTGGTATCTAAAAGAAAAGTCATTTTTACGTCACATAGCATGACAGTGCAGTACATACGTAAACAAATGTTGTGAGTAGATTTAAAAATGCTGGATAATTGTGCATAGGTATTGTTTGCAGTCTGTCAATGTGAAATGTATCAGCACAGTTAAGTCACGAAAATCAAAGTCATATAGTAACCTAACTTACTTCTGGAAGACTGTAACATCATGAACAGAAAAGAACATAGTACAATTAAAGAAGCAAAAATGACATTTTGTTTCAAACAATGCTTTTAATTACGCACTTTTGTTGCCAAGACCCACGAAGACCATGGCCACGAAGCTCACGAGAAGTTTCATTTCACGCTTCGCCTCCTCTTTCATGCTCATTTTCTTTCTAACTAGAGTATTCAACCACTTTTGGTACAGTGTACCAAGCGACCTCATAGATTTGTTAGCATTATGCGTGTCTCCGTCGTTGGTATCGTGTTTCTGGCCTCGTTGGTTATCACAGGATGGATAGCTTTGGCGTACGTGCTGACTCCGAGCCTTCTGCTGGTAGTTCTACCTTTCCCGAAGTATCTGCAGACTAAGCACTTTTACCGCCGCGTCACTCACTTTATGTAAGTTGGAATGATACCTGCGTGTCTTCTATTTTCTGGATTAAACAAAATGCTGCTGCATTGTATTAAACAGACAGTGGGCTTGGATGGGTCAAGTTGTTCTTTTGCTTGGTCTGTGCCTAATAAATCTGACTATCAAGTCGTCAAAAGCTCACCGGCACTTCTGCAGAAAATTTTTTTGGTGTCCAGGTACAAATTTTCGGTGATCACGAGACAAAAATACAAGAAAGGCACATGTTGCGAGACCGAGCCATATGGCTTTGCAATCATCGCACTCGAATTGATTGGATGTTATTGTGGAGCGTCGCATGGCGAACGCGCACGCTTCAAATACTACGAATCGTATTGAAGGCTCCGCTGCGTAAAATTCCGATTTTCGGATGGGCCATGCAACACTTTATTTTCATATTTCTGGTATATCTAGCTATAATGTGGTAGCTATACCCAATACTAACGCTTAAGTTGATACGCAGCAACGTCATTGGGCAGATGACCAAGTGAATTTGCGCAAGCTGCTACCATTTTTTTCATCGCTAGAACCGGAGACTTCATATCTCATATTTCCCGAAGGAACCGATCTCAGCGAATGCAATCTGGAAAAGAGTGCCATTTTTGCGAAAAGAAATGGTCTCTTGCCTCGTCAATTTTCTTTGTACCCACGCACAACGGGGTGGACGTTCATGTTTCCGCTTTTGAGCTCTCAACTCACTGCTGTATACGATATCACGATGTTTTACGTGGACTACGCCTTAAACGAACGTCCATCAGAAGCATCCCTACTTAGTGGTCGCATGCCACGAATGATCCATTTTTACATCGAACGAGTGGACATTTCGGTTTTGCGTGACAACAGTGAGAGTGAAATGGCCACCTGGCTTGAAAACCGCTTTGAACGCAAAGAGTCTTTACTGAAGGCATTCTATCAAGAGAACGGCAAGCTTCCTGATAACGCTCAACGTCTCTTTGAACAAACGAATAGTTCTGCTTCGGCAGCAGTGATATTGTTTTGGCTTGGATTACTCACTGCCACGACAATCTGCGGAGTTTATGGCAAGTCAATATCTGTCATTGCTGCAGTGACAATTGCTGCTGGATACACCGTATACACTGCATTTGGCTCCGGCGTAGACGGATTTCTTGTTGAAAACTTAAAGTAACTTGATAATGAAGATTCGAACAATAGAAGGATGACCACAGCAAGTCATATCAACCAAACCCAAACCTAACAGCAGGCCCCGTTATGTGCTTGTAGCATGGTATTGTCAGAATGGAAGCTTTAAGCTCGATCACTACAAAAACTGGGCAAACTATAGTCAAAGACGAAATTAGTCGGTGCAATGCCTGCAGTGACCCCCGGGTGGATCATACCCCACAAAGGAAGTGCTTCGCACGATTTGGGGATGATTGACACACAACACACAACACATGCACTGCAAATTATTCTATGTGCCTACCATCAACGTTTTTATTTAGAGATTAATTTTGTATATCAGCATGGTTGCCTAGTTTCTGTAGTCACCAGAGCTTAAAGGTGTCATGACCATGACATGCTAAAGCACATAACGGGCCTGCTGCAGGTTTACACTGCTTGATATGATCATTTATTTCGTTCCTAATCATGTCCGTATCTTTTTTATCAAGTTTTCTTAATTTATAACGAGAAATTCGTCTACACCGGAGCCAAAACGTCATTGCAGCAATGGATATTAACTTACCATATATAATTCTCGTTACAGTGCAGAACAATATCACCGCTGCCAATGCAGATCTTATAATTTGATAAAAGATACGCTGAGCATTGTCAGGAAGCTTGCCGTTCTCTTATATAGAATGCCTTGAGTAAAGGCTCTTTGTGCTTAAAGCTGTTCCGAACACAACACATGCACCGGTGTTGATGATTCCAGCAACACATCGATCAATTTGATAGGGTACATAGGGTGAACTCTGGCTGCACCTCTCTCTTGCGACATCCTGTCTTGTCCTGAGCACGCATTGACGCAGCATCCAGCAGTGACCAACTCACAGATTATACAACTTCAATCTTTAGCCAGATCGGACCCTTTACGATTCATTACATTACACTTTGCAATAACATAAGAATCGTCCAGCTTGATTCTGCGAGTGCTAACCGCGCACTTAGAAGCTTCCTCGCCACTACGGTTCCGGGTATATCAAAGTTTATAGAGAATTGTAAGTATATAGCAAGGCTGCGAGATGGTATTGAGCCACTTGGGATCCCTCAAGCCAATCAAGTCCAATTGTGAAGCTTGACACGTCGCCAATGAACGCAAAACGAGACGCCCAAAAGTCTGTAGTTTAAGATCATATCCTTGCTTGAAATCGGCATCTTCGCCGGAGTAGTTTTATCATTACGTTTGTAAACCGAAATAATGGTGCGTCATCATACGGTGGCTTTGGTGCAAGTAATCAAAGTAAAGTATATGTCTTGTTGCCTTGCAAGGCTCATAGTGCCTATCCATGACTTTGACATGATCCCTAAGTAACACAATACGTTGCACAAGGTCGATATTAGAAGAATATTGGTGCATTCGTGCGCGCAGTCGCGACGACAACTTCTTGTCCGAGTTTCCAGCCTCCTTGCTTCCGAGAGCCCATAGCAGCGCTACATCACCCGCGTACGTGGCATGGATCAAATCCGTCACGGAAGACGTCACGGTCATGACATGAGCCAGCTCAAAATCTGATCTGCGTGACAACGCATTATCCAAATTTTTTGCTTTCCTGGCTTATACTTCACCTCGAAGTTATATTCTGCGAAAAAGGAGCACCACCTGGCCATTATCTGCAAAATGTAAGGCGACTGAGTCGCAGTGCGTAGTGGCGCATGATCTGTATAGATTACAAACGCTTGGACCCGAGCAGGTGATCCCTGAACTTGACAAGTGTGTACTTCATCGCAAGTAAATTTTTGTCGTGGACTGGGAAGTTCCTCTCCGCAGCCTAAAC